TGTGGCTCAAGTGGTAGAGCACTAGCCTTGAGCTGAAGAGCTAGGGACAGCGCCCAGACCCAGAGTTCAGGCCCCACGACCGGACCCCAAAAAAAAAATTACATAGAGAGAGATAGAGAGATAGATATAGATATAGCATTGGATTCTCTGACTTCTACCTTTTCCTATTGTCTGTCATAGAGCCCACCTGCTACTCAGCCTGAGTTTCCAGCACATTCTGCCAGGGTCAGCTTTCATCTCTAGACACCTATAGCTCCTCCTGCTGGGCTGGCCACCTTCTAGTTACTGGTGGCAGGGTCCCCTAGCCTACCAAAATACCAGCCCCCCCCCTCTGTCACCCCTCTTACTGCTCCCAGGCCCTGAGCTTTTTGAATAAATGCCCATGGCTTACCTACACCAACTTTTCTCAGCTGGTTCAGCCAGCCTATGCTGGGACACTAGTAGGTAATATAGGAGCTGACGCCAGGCAGTTTGTACCATCCTACCAAGCAAACCTGACTTTCTTGTGAAAATCCTGGGGAATCACAAGGTCACGGGGGTCATGACTATATTCTGGCCCCTGGCTGAGAGTGACCCTTGATCATCCAATCCAGCATAGGCCTGGATGACACACCCTGGAGCCAGGCCCAGTGTGGGAGGGGCTGACACGTACGAGTGTCCTGTGGGCGAGATGAAGTAGAGGCAGCAGTGGATCCGAGTGTCAGGGATGCGTTTCTTCCTGGCGATATTCACCTCCTCCTTCAGGAACTTCTCGTACTGCTCATTGATGTACTTCTCGATGGGCTCCCAGCTGATAGGGCAGAAATAGAATGTCTTAGAGGGACCCAAGCCAAGGAGCAGCTCTTTAGACAATCCCTTTCCTCCAAGCTCAGGTCCCTGGCCAGTCCAGGACACCTGCTGGCTGATTCTCCCTCAGTCCCTTCCCTCGATGGATGGCTCTCCATGGAAGGCTGGGTTGGTAAGGGCAAAATTTCCCCAGGAGACCCAGGCCCCGCCCAGGCTCCAGGGACCTGCAGAGAATGGCAAAGGTGAGGGAGGCACCAGGTTCCTATCTTCTTGGCAGAATGTTTAGGGCCAAAATCTCAGTGGCAGATATACCAGTTTTCATTGTTGATCTGGTCTCCAAAGCCCGGAGTGTCAATGACCGTCAGCTTCATTTTGACGCCACCTTCCTCAATCACTGGGGGGACAAACAGAAAGGGTGTCAGACAGGTCAGATCAGTCCTACAGCTGGTCCAATGTCCTGCAGCCCCTGGCCAGGGACACTTAGGGACTTTTCTGATTGGAAAAGTCAAGTTATTGTTTTTGTGTTGGTTGGCTGTGGGGCTGAACTCTGGGCCTGGGCGCTGTCCCTCAGCTCTTCACCTCAAGGCTACTGCTCTATCACTTGAGCCACAGGGCTACTTCCTGTTTTCTGGAAATAAGAGTCTCACAGACTTTCCTGCGCAGGCTGACTTTGAACCTCGATCCTCAGATCTCAGCCTTCTAAGTAGCTAGGATTATAGGTGTGAGCCACTGGTGCCCAAGCCAGAAAAGTCAAGTTTCATGGTCTTCCCTGACTCAGTGGCTTTGCTCACGCTGTCCCCCTCCCCCTCCCACACACACATATACACACACAGGTAGAGAGCCCTCCCTACTTCCTTCTATTCTACCTCTGTCTAAATCCTATCTGGCCCTTACCACCCAGCCAACTCAAGACCTACTTCTTCCTTGAACTACATCTTTCTCGAACTAGCAGGCTGAGGGTCTTGCTACATTAGGGTTTGGGCTTAATTCCACTCTGCCTTGAAGTTGTTTGTTGCATGTCTTTTCCCCCAAGAGACCCTGTTCCAGCTGGGCACCAGTGGCTCATGCCTGTAATCCTAGCTACTCAGGAGACTGAGGTCAGAAGATTGTGGTTCAAAGTCAGTCCAGGCAGGAAAGGTCACGAGACTCTTTTCTCCAGTGAACCACCAAAAAGCTGGAAGTAGAGCTGTGGCTCAAGTAGTGGAGCACCCAGCCTTGAGTGAAGCTTCAGTACCATCACACACACACACACACACACACACCAGCCATGCCCCTTGTTGGCACAGGCCGGGGCCCCCACCTCCTCCTCACCATGCCCGATAGCTTTGATCTCCACCGTCTTGGGGATCTTCTCCTCCCGGTTCCAGCTGGAGGCCTTCCGGCTCACCTGGCACTTGAAGAGCGTGTTGACCAGCGTTGACTTGCCCAGCCCACTCTGGCCTGCAGTGAGGCAGAGGAGGAAGATGGGGACCCACGCCCACCCCGGAAGTGCCCCACTCTCCCTCCGGCCTGCAGAGTCCCTCAGTCCCTCTGGCTCGAGCCAGCCCAGCCTTGGCCCGGCCACAGGCAGCAGATGGAAACGGCTTCCGCTTTCCTGGCGAGGATCTCGCCATTCTGACTTCTCTCCTTCCTTGGGAGAGGGAACAGCTTCTCTGTCTGTCTGACAAGTTTGGGGTTCTTTGGTTTGTTTTCCTTGACATAAGGTTTTGTCTTGTGGGGTATTTTTTTTGGCAATAATAGAGTCTGAACTCAGGACACTGCCCTCGATAGGCAAGCACTTCGTCACTTCAGCCACGCGCCCAGCCCTCTTTTTGCTTTATTTTTCAGATAAAGTCTCACATTTTGCTCACAACCAGCCTCCTCCTACCTACGATCCTTCTACCTATGACTCCCAGTAGCTTGGATTGCAGGCATGTAGCACTACGTTCTGTTTGTTGGTCGAGATGGGTTCTTGCTACCTTTTTTCCCTGGGCTGGCTTTGAACTTCAAGCATTCTAATATCTACTTCCCAAGTGGCTGGGATTACAGGCATGAGCCACCACACCAAGCCATCCGTCTTTAATCAGACTAAAGTATTCTGACACTGCCAGAGCACTTTCACATCTGTTAGCAAAATCTATCTTTATATCTTTATAAGTCCCACAGCAGAGCTATCTTTATCCCCAGTTGAGATGGCCCTGGAGCGATGAATCCTCTTCCAACATAAAATGCATAGTCCCTGCAAGTCCAGGGACCCGAATCTCAAGGACCACTCTTTATTCTAATACAGTGGTTTGTCAATTGTGCCCCCAGAAGACCAGAGTGCTGCTAAAAGTCTGTGGCACAGTAGGTACCGTGAGAAGGGCAAGCAGGACCACAGCGCCCACCTCTACGTCCTCCAACTACGCAAGTCTGTGACCGAGCACTTTTCAAGGAGCAGTTCCACAGCTAGCATGCACTTGAGAACCGTGCATCCCAGCAGAGCCACCCACGCATCACACCAGAAAGCCTTGCAAGGAACAAGAGCCCTGGCACCGCCGGGTTCTATGGAAAACATCTCTCCCCAGTCCTAAGGCCTAGCAGCTGCAGTTTAACTGGAATTTCAGAGGACTCAGATAGACAGCAAACCCAAGAGGTGCTGGTCTATTAGGAAAAAAACAAAAAACGAAACAAAAAAGACCAGGTAGAAAGAAAGGCAAGCACCCAGGTTCTATCCAGCTGTGGTCCTGTGCCTGACTGCCCTTGACCAGCTGTTCTCATCCCCGGGCCTGAAATTCCTTTACAGATAGGAAGGTGAAGAGGGAAGAAATGGCCAGAGGCCAGGATGGTAAACAAGGTGCACTTCTCATTCCTCCTGATGAGCTGATGAGGCCACTTGGATGATTGTTAAAATGGCTATGTCTGCACTTATTACTGAACACAGCCACATGACCAGCATTGTCTGCCACTAGCACCCAGAGAAGTGGCCGCGTATCTTCTTCTACAGGCTGAGCGTCTCTAATCTGAAAGTGAGAAATCTGAAATGTCCCAAAATTGGAAAATTTCTTGCATGCTGACATGACTTGGGAACTGTTAAGATTTTAGGGTAGGAATCAGCCAGGAAAGGCCATGGAAACATTCCAAAATACAAAGAAAAAAAAAAAAAAGGAGAGTTGGGAAGGTGGCTCAGTGGTAGAGTGCTTGCCTTGCAAGCATGAGGCCCTGGGTTCGATTCCTCAGCACCACATAAGCAGAAAAGGCCAGAAGTGGTGCTGTGGCTCAAGAGGTAGAGCGCTAGCCTTGAGCTGAAGAGCTGAGGCACAGTGTCCAGGCCCAGAGTTCAGGCCCCACAACCAGAAAAAAAAGAAAATCAGAATACTTCTAGTCCCAAGTATTTTGGACAAGAGATACATAGCCTCTTTTTGCCACTCTTGGTCTAGAATGTTTAATAAGGTCTTTTGTCCATCAAGTATATTGATATAACTATAGCTATAGACATAAAGATATATATATTTATATATAGTGATGCTTTGATTATCAAAGTTCTTGGAATTAAGCCTATAATTACAGTTACTCAAAAGGCTGAGATCTGGGGATCACAGTTCAAAGTGAGCCTAAGCAGGAGAATCCATGAAACTCTTATCTTCAGTTAACCACAAAACGCTGAACCTGGAAGTATGGCTCAAGTGGTAGAGTGCCAGCCAAACTAGAGGTACCAGCACAAACAACAACAACAAAACAATGATAATAACAATATAGCAAACTAAATTCACAGGATTTATATTCATGTACAAAATTACAGACATAGGGCTGGGAAGGTGGCTCAGTGGTAGAGCGCTTGCCTTGCATGCCTGAGGCCCTGGGTTCGATTCCTCAGCACCACAGAAGCAAAAAGAAAAAAGCCGGAGGTGGTGCTGTGGCTCAAGTGGTAGAGCGCTAGCCTTGAGCTGAAGAGCTGAGAGACAGCGCCCAGGCCCAGAGTTCAGGACCCACGACCAGACCTAAAAAAAAAAAAATTACAGACATATACTAATGAGAGATGCTCCCTGAGAAGAATTGCAAGCAAGGAAGAAATATAAAGAAAGAGAAAGAACTACAACCAGATAGGATGGCTCACGCCTATAATCCTAGTTATTCAGAAACTTGAGCTCTAAGGACTGTGGTTTGAAGCCAGCTTCAGGCAGGAAAGTCCATGAGATTCCTATCCCCAATGAACCAGCAAAAAAAAAAAAAAGAAGCAGAGCTATGGCTCAAGTGGTAGAAAGCCAACCTTGAGCAAAAGCGCTCAGGGACAGTGCCTGGGCCTTGAGTTCAAGCCCCACAATGAAAACAAAAACTGAGATTGTATCTTTTTTGGGGGGAGAGGGAACAGTACTGAGATTTGAACTCAGGGTTTGTGCTTGCTAGGCTGGCATTCTACTCCTGTGCCATACCTCCACCCCTGTTTTTCACTGGCTATAAGAATAGGGTTTCAGTACCAAGCCAGCATTAAGCATTCTTGATTGCCAAATGCTGCCCTGGAATGGAAGTGTTCAAGGCGCTGTTCAGTGTGAGGGAGACCTAAATATAAATAGCCAGTTACAATATGTTAAGAGTACACGCCATAAAGAGATAACCACAGGGCACTGTAACAGAACAGCAAAGGGAATCTCTCTGACATCAAGGACGACAAGGAGGAAGCAACATGAAGCAGAGACCTAAAGGCTGACTTCCTATGAACCGTGACACATGCCTAAATGCCGCCACTTACATGTTTGAAGCAGGAGGGTTCCATGTCCCAGGCCAATCTATGTGGGCTACATAATACAACCCTGTCTCAACACAGGGTATGAATTTCAACTCACAGGTCGGGTATGGTGAGTCACACCTGTAATTCCAGCTCAGGAGGCAGAGGCCAGAGCAAGCCTGGACAAAGTTAGGAAGCCCCTATCTCAAAATCAAAGCAAAAACAAAAGAGCTGGGGTCAGGGTGGCATATGAGAGGCCCTGGGTTCAATCTCCAGTACCATACACACACACAAAAAAAGACAACAGGGCTGGGAAGATGGCTCAGTAGTAGAGCACTTGCCTTGCATGCATGAGGACCTGGTTTCGATTCCTCAGCACCACATAAGCAAAAAGAAAAAAGCCGGAAGTGGCGATGTGGCTCAAGTGGTAGAGCACTAGCCTTGAGCTGAAGAGCTGAAGGACAGCGCCCAGGCCCAGAGTTCAGACCCACGACCGGACCCAAAAAAAAAAAAAAGAATATTGAGTTTGGCACTGGTGGCTCTCACCTGTAATCCTAGCTACTCAGGAGGCTGAAATCTGAAGATCTTGGTTTGTCAAAGCCAGCCCGAGTAGGAAAATCCCTTCCCTATTACCCAGAGAGGACCAAATCCCTGGAAAATTTCTTAAAGCTTTAAAATACCACAGAAGATCAGAACTACCGAGCACCAATGGCTCACACCTGTAATCCTAGCTAATCAAGAGGCTGAGATCTGAGGATCATTGTTCAAAGCCAGCCTGAGCAGGAAAGTCTGTGAGTCTCTTACCTCCAACTAACTACCAAAAGCCGTTAAGTAGAGCTGGCTTCAAGTGGTAGAGCATCAGTCTTGAGCAAAAAAAATGCTAAGCAAAAGTGTCAAGGCTTTGAGTTCAAGCCCCAGTACTGGCATGTATGCACACACACACACGCACACACGCACGCACGCACGCATGCACGCACACAGTACTAAAGCATTACAAAAGATCAGAAAGAAGAGAAGACGGGGTGGGGAGGGGTACCTCACGTGGTAGAGCACTTGCCTAGCTAGGGCAAGGTCTGAGTTCAATCTGTATCAATTACCAAAACAAGAAAAAAGAAAAATCTCTGGAAGGGCTGGGGATTCTCCCACACTACCAACCAAAGAGCAGGTGGAGTGCTGAAGAGGCTACCCTCCTACACACAGCTGGAGGCGGAGCCAGGCTCAGCAGACCACAACCTCCCTCCTAGAATGAGCTCGCCCTAGAGAACCCAGGGCCAAAGCCATCCTGGTGCTGCCGGCCGCAGGTGCTCAGTGACCCCTTGCCCTCCATACCAACGACCATGATGTTGAAGTCAAAGCCGGTCTTCATGGTCTTCTTGCGCATCTGCTCGATGATGGTGTCGATGCCTATGTAGCCCAGGAGGTTGGAGTTGATGCTGACGGGCTTCATGGGCACTGCCGGCTTAGGCCTGGGCTCAGGCACCAGCTCTGACATGGCTGCGTCCGTCCTGGTCTCTGGGAGCCCTGCAAAGTCATGGGGCGGAGAAACAGAAGGGGAGAGGAAGGAACCAAGGTCACATGAAAAGGGTAATATTTTTCTTTTTTTTTCTTTGCTTTTCTTCCCTTTTTTAGTGCCAGTATTGGGACTTGAACTCAAAGCCTCACCTTCTTGTTTGGCTTCTTCACTCAAATCTGGTGCTCTACCACTTGGGCCCCACCTCCACTTCCTGCATTTTGCTGGGTCATTGGAGATCAGAATCTCACAGATGTCTTCCCAGGGCAGGCTTTAGACTAAGATCGTCAGATCTCGGCCACTTGAGAAGCTAGGATTATACCTGAGTCACAGGTGCCTGACTAGTACTCATCTGTTTGAAGAAACAGAGCAGCTAACTTCTGCAGAAAAACCCTCACCCTAGCCTCTCTTGTCCCCCATGTTCCATGAGTTGCAAAATAGAGGGATGAGCCCTGGACACCCTCCTAACCATACGTTTGAGTCTGTGGGACCGCTGGTAGGAGATGGGACCAGAATGAGGTCAGTCGATTGCCCAAGGTGGCAACACTCTAACAATGGTAGGTAGCCGAAGGCAGAGGCTGGAACACAGACTACCCAAGGAAGGGAAGAGACAAAGGTGCCTGTAGGTCATGTAGATCACAGGGGTGTTCACACACAGGTAAAATCTATAGTTATCAGGCCGCTGTCCACCAGGGTAGGTTTGAGACTAGAGGGACTCCATTTTCCCCATCTATAAAATGGGTACACGGGATGGTATGCTCTGAATAAGAGCTGTCTGTCCCCCACAGGCTCAAATTTTAAAAAGGTTGATCCCTAGCCGGCGGTGCTATTTTCAGAGGTTCTGGAAACTTTAGGAGGTAAGATCCAGCTGAGGAACTAGGTCATTGGGAGGGAGAGGAGAGGAAGGGTCTTTGTGGAAATAACATTCCTGACCTCTTTCTATCACACTCTCTGCTTGCCTCTTCACCAATAAGCAATGGCTAGCTCTGCTCGCCCTCTGTCAGATGTTCCCGCAGCTCCAGTGCTCCCGAGTACCTGAGGCCAAGCAACTATGAACCAAACCCTCCCGAACCACAAGCAAAATAAGTCCTTCCTCCCTTAAATTCTGCATGCCAGCAACAAGAAAAGCTATAGAAGTCAAAAGAGCCTGGCCCTGCTCTGTGCAGCCTTGGGTTCCCCCCCCCACCGCATGGGGAGCATCCTGGGTCTAGGTTCACTGCTTGTCTGGATCACGTGGACACACGTGGGGAGAAGAGGCGCCCCAGATGCTCATTTCACTCGCTACTGTTGGACTCCGTGCTCTTCTGAGGATGCCTTCTAGCTTTGCCATCGCTCTGCAGATTCTTACCCTTCCTGGGAAGGCCTGATGGAGCCGCAGATGGGCAAGGCGGGGAGGGTGGCTCATGCTAGCAATCTGAGCTTCTCATGAGGCTGAGATCTAAGGATCGTGGCTCAAAGCCAGCTCAAGCAGGAAAGTCTGTGAGACTCATCTCCAGCTCTTATCTCTAATTAACCAGTTAAACACACACACACACACACACACACACACACAATAAAAAACAAACAAACCAGAAGTGGAGGTATGGCTCAGTTGAAGAATACCAGCCTTGAATAAAAAAGTTCAGGAACAGGCCAAGCACCAGTGGCTCACACCTGTAATCCTAGCTACTCAGGAGGCTGAGATCTGAGGATGACGGTTCAAAGCCTGGGCAGGAAAAGTCTGTAACACTCTTATCTCCAGTTAAGCACCAGAAAACTGGAAGTGGCGCTGTGGGTCACTGTAGTGTGTAGTGCTGTGGTAGAGCACTAGCCTTGAGCTGAAGAGCTGAGGGACAGTGCCAGGGCCAAAGTTCAAACCCCACAACTGACATAAATAAATAAATAAATAAAGCAAGCTTGGGGACAATGCCGAGGCCCTGAGTTCAAGCCCCAGGACCAACACCAAAAAAATAGTAAGTAAATGAAGAGGGAGAGGAACAAGAGCGCCTCCCTACACCCTTCTTCAAGCACAGCCAGGTGTCTGCTCTGTGCCCTCCCTGCCCACACACCCGCTCCTCTCCCCGCGGGAGTCTGTTCTTCCCCACGGTTCCCAGGCACAGCCAAATCTGACCAAGCCTTGGAACTTCCCCAGGGCCTGGCACGGCGTCCTCTTGCTTCCCAGGAAGCTGTGGCCAGCGAGGCGGCTCCGGAGGGCAGCGAGGTTGGCTGGGGCCTGAAGCAGCTGACTCTGGCAGCCTGGCCCTGCGCCCCTACCTGCACACATGGCTCAGGCCGCAACCCCCACCCCTGCACTAGATCCCGCGCCCGCTCCCCTGCGCTGCCCACACAGCCGAGGCCCCCCTCTTGCCCTCACACCTCCACAAGCTGAGCCCATTTGGTCTCCAGGCTGTGCTGTGCGTGCATTCACCCCGGCGCGCTGTTCTTGCTTCTGTTTTACAGACCTGGAAACGGAGCCTGGTATTTCTCCACGGGAGGGAGGATTTCGAAGTAGTTTATAAAGAATGTGTCCTCACCATGGCCTGCCGAGCCCTGGCCTGGTACATGCAGCACCCTAAGAAAATACTCCCAGAAGTGGGGGGCAGAGTGCCAATCTTGAGCAAAGAAGCCAAGGGAGAGGATGAGGCCTCGAGTTCAAGCCCCATTACCAGCACAGAGGAAGGAAGGAAGGAAGGGAGGAAAGGAGGAAGGGAAGAAGGGAGGAAGGGAGGAAGGGAGGAAGGGAGGAAGGGAGGAAGGGAGGAAGGGAGGGAGG